CTTTCAGGCTATTTATGACCGCCTCTTCACCTGGGTCGTACAAAAGATCAACGAGTCGATAACTGTGGAGCAAACGTCACGCTACAATAAGGGCACCGTTATCGGTGTGCTTGATATATATGGATTCGAAATTTTCGGTACCAACAGGTAAACAATGATACCTCGTACAGAAAAAAAGATGAGGTCATAAGTTTCAAAAACCTCCCTATGTTACAGCTGAAAAGAAAAAATCCAAATTTTTCTTACCTTTTTTTGAGCCTTCGAGCATGCAGAAAAGAGAAAAAAAACGGGGCTTCATCAGGTGAGGATACAACTCTTTCGCATGCGACAAAAGGCACATTGGCGCGACAAACGTCTTGAAGGGTTGTTCTGTCGTAATTCGTTGGAAAAGCCATCTTTCAACAATCCCAACTTCCAGTAACGCGACTCATCGAACTGATACTTTGAGACTTTCCCTTATTAGTAGTTGTTATTACAGTTTCGAACAACTATGCATCAACTACTGTAATGAAAAATTGCAACAGTTATTCATCGAACTCGTACTGAAACAGGAGCAAGAGGAATACGAACGAGAAGGCATCCAATGGTCGAAAATTGATTATTTCAATAACAAAGTAAGCAGTGAAAGTTACAGTATTGGGTGCTTACAAAAAATAGGACCTTTTCTATTAAGATCATCTGCGATTTGGTTGAACTGCCACGAACCGGCATTCTGTCCGTACTCGACGACGCATGTGCCTCTGTCGGAAACGTGACTGATCAGGTGGGCCTTTTAAGTCGCACGAAAAGTTCGATCAGAGAAAAAAGTCCCAAAGAAAAAATCCTTTTCCCAATTTCTTTCGCCTCCACTACGAGAATTCTAGTAACCTTTCCCTTAAGGTTTCTCTACTGTAGCTTACGATTGTGTAGTGGTCATTGGAAAAGTATTAATTTAGGTCTTTCTAAGTGAACTCGACAAGAATCTGCAATCACACAAGCATTACACCAGTCGAGGGCTGAAACAATCAGAGAAAAGCATCAAACACGATGAGTTCAGGTGAGTGCATTTGTGAGCTTGTAGGTACGATTCAATAAGTTCGTAAGAGGGCCAACGCTCGTACTGGTACGGCCAACTGTCAAAACTTCAATTTCGTGAGTCCATCATCTTTCAGGGTTACTCACTATGCTGGCGATGTTACTTATTCTGTCAACGGTTTCATGGATAAGAATAGAGATACCTTGTTCCAAGACCTTAAACGGCTATTATTCAACAG